ATCCAAAAAATATAGTCAAGATATCATTTATAGAGATTTTAATCTGAAATGGGGGACTAATAGATTCACTTTACTTGGAATTAATTTTGATGTAGATCTTCAAAAAATGTCTAAATTGAATTATCAGCCAAAGTTAAGCAGAATAAAATCAATCTTACATCAGTGGGAGAAAAGACACTTAACACCAATAGGAAAAATCACTGTTATAAAAACTTTGGTTCTGCCTTTATTAAACCATATTTTTATGGCAATTCCAAACCCAGATGACAATTTTTATAAGGAGTTGGATAAAGTATTTTTTTCTTTCCTGTGGAACCACTCTCAACATAGAATAAAAAAGGATGTAATTGTTAAAACATATGAAGATGGGGGATTAAAGATGATAAATGTAAAGGCTTTTACATCTTCCTTAAAATTATTTTGGATGCGAAAACTCCTATTGTCAAATAGAGATCTACATGATTTTATACCAATAGTAGATATCAATAAAGTTGCAACATGTGGAATTGAATATATTAAATATATTAAAAAATCACTAAAAAACAAATTTTGGGTGGATGTATTTGACTCATGGATTGAGCTACATCATAAACAAAACCCAACTGCAGTTACATCAAATGCTCCTCTTTTTTATAATCCCAACATCCTTGTTGGGGGGAAAGTTTTTTTCAATAAATCCATGTTTGATGCTAATATCCGATACCTTAATGATGTTATAAATGAAGAGGGAGGTTTCTTGACTTATGAATCTGTTTGTGATATATATCCACAAGTGAAAATTAATTTTTTAGAATATATGAGTATTATAAGTGCTCTTAAAGCATGGATGAAAAAAGCGAATTTTGATAGAAATGTAACTAAGTCACAAAACCCTCTGGTCATGTCAAATATAAATACTCTTTTAGAATGCAAAAAATCAAGGCAATTTTATAATCTTCTCAACCAAAATAGTACAGAACCTACTGGTAAAAGAAAATGGAATGAAATATTTGAACTGAACGACAAAGAATGGAAATTGATTTTTAAATTGCCTTTTAAAGTTACAAACAATTGCAAATTGCAATGGTTCCAGTACCGAATTCTGAACAAAATTTTGGCCTCAAACTCATATCTATTCAAAATCAAAATCACAGACAACAAAAACTGTACCTTCTGTCAAGTAGAAGAAGAAACAATTGAACATTTGCTTTGGGAGTGTGATCATGTACAAGATTTTTTAAGAGAATTTGAAAATTACCTTGAAAATAAAACAAATCTTCAGATATTGGTAACAAAAAATAATTTCATTTTTGGATTCTTAGATAATAGGAAAAAGATACAAAATAATCTTGTTCTATGGCTTAAATATTATATCTACACAATGAGGTGCACAGGGAAAACACTTAATGTACCTGCTGCGATATCGCTTATGAATACATTTTATGAAACTCAAAAATATATTGCATACAAAAATGGTGAAAAGGATATGTTTGATACCTGCTGGAACTACTGGAAGCTTTTATTTCAATGAATATTTAGATTAATATAAATATTGTGAATGCATGCACTCTTCTCTCTCTTCTCCCCTTCCCTATCTTTCTCTCCCCTCTTCTTCCCCCTCCTCTCTCTCTCTTCTTTCCAAAATAAAAAAAATTACACCTTCTGTATTTGTTATTAATCATTTATTGTATTAAATAACAGAATGTGTAAAACAAAAATAAAGAATTATAAAAAGGTAAACACTGGTGGAAACAATATTTAGGCACTGAATAGACACAGATTTTTGGTTTGAATTTTTTTAAGAAAAAAAAGAAACATTCTCACTTCCACCTTATACTTTTGAAATTAATAATTTTTCAACATAGATAGTATATATTAAAGTATATTCACAGGAGTCTGAAGTTTTTATCGTCAAAAAAAAAAAAAGAAAAAAAAAAAAAAAAAAAAAAAAATCCGGAAAAAAATTTTCCTACCCTTAACTAAAAAAACCCCAGGATGGCAACGTGTTTTGGGGGGACCCACCTAAACAAAAAAATCTGGGCTTGGTCGGAAAAATCTCGCAACTAATTCAGTATCTGGAGTGTTTGTGCTATTTATTCAAGTTAAGAAATCAAATCTCCTTGACGACTACGGCTGTTCATGGCCTTTTTTCCAGTTTGACAGCTCATCCTGGACTCCATGCCACTAAACCGGAAGTGAACTCCGAGGTGAATAAATGACGTAATTGAAGAAAAGAACCAAAAAAATGCATATAAAACTTCATGTACAATTTTATGTTACCATACGTGATCAATAAAAAGGTATATTTTTCAAACAAAATAATGCTTTATAATGGCGCTTAGTCTAACTGTTTGGCTTTTTGTCGACATGGCTTTTCAGTGATTTAAATTTGGCGCTTGTAAAAACTGAATTATCTGTCCCTGGTACACATCGTCGTACAAGTAAGAAAAAGAATAAATAACTTTTTAAAGTTCTGTTAAATATATTTAAAATAACTGAATAAAATTACGTTGAACAATTATTTATTTTATTTCATTTGAACAAGTTTTTATAAACGTCAAATATACACTGCGAGATTCTCTTCCGGTTTAGTGGCATGGAGTCCAGGATGAGCTGTCAAAGTGGAAAAAGGGCTAGGAACGGCCCGTAGTCTTCAAGCAGATTGAATTTTTCACATTGAATAAATAACAAAAACGCTCCTGAAACTGAATTAGTCGCGAGATTTTTCTGGCCAAGCCCAGATCTATTTGTTTAGGTGGGTCCCCCGAAAACACGTTGCCATCCTGGGGTTTTTTTAGTTAAGGGTAGGAAAATTTTTTTCCGGATTTTTTTTTTTTTTTTTTTTTTTTTGACGATTAAAACTTCAGACTCCTGTGGTATATTATAATAATATAATAATTTAAAAAGAAAAAAGAAAAAGAAAGAAATAGGCTATTTTGTTCATCTTCATTTTTGTAGTTGTTTTAGACTCTTGATTATATAAAATACATAAAATAATAATTAACAACACGAACATCTACATTATCTTAAAATCTTTTAATTCTACTGGTATCTTTTTTTAATTACATTTTACTATACTTAATTTTAGTTAGGAACCTGTAATAGTTTAGTGATAATCTTCTACACAATGGACACAAAATCAAGTGCATATATGTATGATATATGTAGGAGTTTCCTTTCTGCAAACATTTACAAACAAGTTGTACTACTACTTTTATTGACAATTAACATACCGGTTCTGAAACGACTGGTGGAACTAGATACATCAGTTGCACTAGTGTTGTGAAAAAACTACAACGTTTCCTTCCACTAAGTATATTAAATAGATAGATAATATTTTTTTTATAATCTTGTAACACTAGTAAAATATAGCAGTGACTTGTTCTTCTCCGTGTGACTTTTCTCGGAGTGACTTTATAAACAGTAAACTGCGCAGTATTATGTTGCGCCGAAACATTCTGCAATAATGCTCTATCAAGAATAAAGACACTAAAGGTTGTAATTATTCAGGTAAATTCTACACTTTTCAAACCTTACATAATGAAACCAACAATCGGCAATGATCAATGAATATTTTTGTTCCTGTTCCGCGTTTCCAAGAAAATCTTCCACTTCTCCACAACAAAAATGGCGAATGAGCCTCGTTTTCAGAAATTGGTACACCGCGCCCGATCGAAAAAAAAATAAACAAACTCAGCCCTCTGTTGATTTTATTCCTGACGTATACCAACTTTACAAAATTGATTCTGCATTCAATAATGCAGAATCACTTAGTACCTAAGGGTGCCTCTATATAACTATAACCAATAATCGCTTTGCTGTTTTTGAGAAGATTTTTAAAAAGATTTTTCCAATGTATTTCTATGTTCAACTTTGACCCCCCATTGTGGCCCCACTCTACCCCAGGGGGGCACGATTTGAACAAACTTGAATCTACAGTACCTGAGGAAGCTTCCACTTGAGTTTCATGTTACCTGGCCCTGTGGTTCTTGAGAAGAAGATTTTTAAAAGATGCCATTAATTTCTCATTAATTCATTATTATCTCCCCTTGGAAGAGGGCGTGGCCCTTCATTTGAACAAACTTGAATTCTCTGCACCTAAGGATACTTTGTGGCAAGTTTGGTTGAAATCGGCTCAGTGGTTCTTGAGAAGAAGATGAAAATGTGAAAAGTTTACGACAACGACAACAACGACAACGACGACGACAACGACAGACGACGGACAAATTTTGATCAGAAAAGCTCACTTGAGCCTTCGGCTCAGGTGAGCTAAAAAGTTATTCAACACTTTTGGATGAAACCTTACAAATTTTTTACTATTGTGTACAAAAGATCGAAAAAAAAAAAGATTCTAGCAGCACTTCCCAAAAACGTTAGACTAAGAATTTATGATAGAAATAAAAATTATGTTTCAAAGTATGCGGCGTAGTGTTGAACTTTTGCGTCTTTTTTGTTACGAACGACGGGAAAGGCTGATCGTGAAATAAAAACACTGTCTGCTTTCATTATACGAAGACATCGTAGGAATATATTAGCATAAGATACCTTATTCATAAGTTTTATTTATGAATCACACATGATATTCCTGCTAAATACTTTTTAATTCCGATTTCTTGTGTTTGTTTACATGAATTCTCCTTACGTCTCCCTTTTACTCTGCTAATGCTGATCAATATTTATGACGTCATGGGCTTGGTATTTAACCCCATTACAAAAACATAGCTATTTATACCACCCTAAACGACAAGATTTTGTCTATATTTAGCTTTTGCAGGTTTCAATTAATTTCTTCGACTTCAAATCGATCTTTAAATATAGATTTTAGGAAACCGTTTCCTCTAAAGTTAACGTCATATAGCTTACAATGACGTCATATTGTCTAGGCAAGAAGAATATTTGGTCGTAGTCTTAATATACCCGCGAAGTATTTGCAAATGTAAATATTTGTTTTTGTTAAATAAAATAATTCGTATTTAATGAAGAAAAAAGGCTTTATATAGATAATATTTTATATATTTCAGGGAATTTTGTAAGAAGAAGTTGGGTACTTGCATACCAGACAGTTTTATTGAATCAGCATCTGAAATAAGAATGGAGGAAATCTTGTGTCATAAATGTGAACAGCCATCGAATAACAACTGTATAACTGGAATTTTTAGCGAGACGCAAGTTTAGCTATCTATTCTTAACATATATTAAATTTTAACAATTTTTGAGAAGTATTGTAGTCTTGGGGTTAAACGATGCCTAGAAAAACACAGGAAATCTAGAATACAGAAGATATTGTTTGGGATATTATAATTTAGGGATCTAAACACCCTGGCTAAAATGCTCAATTTGAATCCTACCTAAAATTTCTTCCTGTACAGTAAAATGACTTCGTGGCATATAGTCAGTTAATATGACATATATTCCCTTATTAAAAAAATTAAAGAAAGTAGAGCAAGAACATTCATGCTGCCATTCATGAGGAGGAAAAAATGTTCGAGGAAAATAAGGCAAGGCCAGAGTACAGATAATGTTATTGGATCACAAGAATACATGACAAAAGTGGCATCTGGATCTGGAGAAGCACCACGCCGATTACAAATAACAGCAGAACCACCCACTCAACCAATGCTACCTCTTCCATTACCAAGTTCACACATTGCAACAGCACCGTTCTCTACATACCACTACTACTACTACAACCATCAGCATCAGGAGCTAAGCAAAAGACATATTGATAGAATAATATTTCAAGTATATGTAATACGAGGAATTTAAACTGTGGAAAAAAACGAGAAAAGTTAATATCAAACATTTTTTTAAAATTATCTATTGCGCAGTAATTCTCCGCAGTAACATTGTCTATTGATTAATTTAAAAAAAAGTTTTCATGAAAATGAAAGTGTCATAATATACCCTTCAAAAACTTAAATGAAATTCTGCAAATTTATCTAATAAATCACTCTTTTACAGTACTCTAATTTGTCATTTCTTTGTTGAATTACCACTTAGAGCTACATGAAAGTGATTTAAGTCTGAACAGATTTTTTTTCAAAATCTTTTCTACACGATAAAAACAATAGCTGCAGCCTTTAACTCGACAATTTAATCTATCGTCAATTTATTATCAATTATCATTTACATCCCTATCATGGTCTGCATTTTATTTTCTGCAGTTATGTATTTAAATCATTAATAATTTAATCATGAGATTTCAGAAAAATGAAAAAGAGATATATTAATCAATTAATAATAGGGAATTATTTATTTAAAAGATATATGGGAAAAATGCATTGCCTCTAAATTATCATTCCCAATTTACTGCGTTATTGAAGTGCTCTTATACATGTAGTTTAATCCTGGGAGAAATAGTTTTCAGGAAATCATATATATTAATGTTTGCTCTTGCTATCTATATATGTTATATACGAAAAAAAATTTTGATTAAGCTTGTTTTATTATGGAATGCTGTAAAATCATTTTCTTCATTTTGATATATTTTGAATTTACTCAAGAATTAACGTCATTCGTAGAACCTTTGTGTGGGGATTTTAATTCAAGATGCTGTGATGGATACAGAACTATAGGGGACAAGTGTTTCCGTAAGATTTTGTCTTGAAATTTATAAAATTATATTCACACGATCAGCTGTAGGAGTACTGTGCAACAATATGTTTGAGAAGTGGGGTAAATAAGATGTGAATCCTTAAAAAATCCTTTCTTGGAAAATTTGAAATAAAAAAATTGTCATTTGGTAAGTCCTATTGTCGACACGATGACCTTGTCAGTAAATACAATCTATCATTTAGTCAATGACTTTTCATGCTAGATGTAAGACCATCATTTACACACCGATTGACGAGGGATTTTTCAGTTATTTCCCAATCATGACAAGCAGCACACAGTTGGTGTGATATATCGACAGTGGTTGCTCTCTCCACTGTGGTACCTTAACCCACCTCTGATTATTAGAGGTTCATGTTAGCCCTGCTCCTGATGTGTGTTATTGAATGGACTTTCGAGTTTAAATACTGTTCGTTATCTCCATACATTTCATCCGATTATTATCAAAATTGAAATTTTATTATCATAGAAATATATAATTTCATCAACAGAAAATTCGCTAACTAATCAGATTTATCCCTAAAAGATAAATACAGTTATTGAGAATGACGTTTATCACTTTCTTTTTTGAGATTATAAATAGCGACGCATACGTAGTGCAAACCGTTTTCCGGAATTATGCGGTTCTATCATTACGGTTCTAGGGTCAATAATACTTGAGCTCTGATGCGCATGCGCTTGTTCTTTTCAACTTCCCATCTTGTTCAGCGCAGACGAAATCAATGGTGCTAAAAAAATCAAGTGTCGTCGGCAAGTATCTTATCAATCGAAGAAATGTAATATGAATACAGCATAAACAGGTCGAGACCACTAGAGTTTCTGACGTCAGAATAAATTTGCATGTAAATTAGCTAATCTGTTTACTTTACATGTACCTACTGCTGAATGAGCCGCAATGCATTGTGGGCTACTACAAGTACCTAGCTGTGTCGAAAATTAAAGGCAACTTGAATTGTCCCTTGGAAACTTATTTTCAATTCTTTTTTGAGATTTGTGAAAGAAATATTTAAAATGATGTATAATCTTTCATTTTTATGCTCACATTTACAAAATTTGCTTTATGAAGCCTTATTTCAACTTATAATACATCGGTCTAGCATACCATTGTTCAAAGAGACGTATAAGTGCTATCGTGTCGATAAAACATTGAGTTTTTTTCACGTGATATACGTGAACATAGCTTTAGCAGGTAGTATATAGGTCCTTGTTTTTAGCAGCAGGAGAAAGTGTGCAATTATTATTTAACCCCTCAATATTATCAGAAAGTGTTTTATGTATATGCAAAAGTCAAAGCGTTTGTGCGGTATTCGAAGCAACTGTTAATCATCTAAAACAACTCCAGTATTAAATGTGAGCATGGAGCAGTGTCTTTAGAATATAATCTTTCAATTTCCGTCTAATAAAGTGATAAAGAAGCTCTATAGTTTTTCCGGTGACGAGTTAAATTTTGTGCAGTAAACCGACGAAAACCACGTGTAGCCATTGAATCGTAAACACGTGGTAGACTGTTATGCTTTGGGACTCTTTCATTTGATTGGAGAACGGGCGTGACGAAGACATCGTCACATGTTGAAAATTGCTTTCCATATAAGGTAGTGGTCTCGACCTGATAAAGTAATCATATTAATTCATGTTTTATGAATTTGTTTAAAATCTATCGTCTAATTCTTCAGAAAATGATCATGTAAAACAAGAAAATTTTACTTTCAATACTTGTTTATAAATGAATGCATGTTTAAATATCAATAATAATTTATAAGAAAAATTCTGTCGGTTTTATAATTATTTGCAACAACGATATTATTGACTTGAGAGTGGTGGGTTCCTCAAGGAGATGCAATATGAAATCGCTTCAGGCCCAACCCCCTGCACGTGTTGCAAGACCCTCGGCTTAACAATTTATAAATCTGGTATAATTACACAATACCATTTATGGAAAAAACAAGGAAATTCGGATTAAAAGTTGACGATGTTTTTGCAATGTTTTTCAACATGTGTTGTAACTAATTTTGTTAAATGAGTTAGATATCTATATATAAAATTACAGACTATTTTACTTTGTGTTTTTGCAAGATGATTAAATGTAAAACCATGGTTTATCAATTGGGTCAGGGAATAAAACCGCCAAATTAAATGAAAAACTTAACTCATTTTCGGTTGGGAATGGGCCCGAGTTTCAGCTATGAGAAGTTGCTAATAAATCCCTGCATTCTCTTACAACAAGAAAAAAAAATTGAACATTAATGAGCATATGTTTCTTGCTAAGTTAATATTGCAGTTAGATCCAGCAGATGAAATTATAATATAGTTAGATCCAGCTGATGAAAGCAACTGCTTGTGTTTAAAGATGGAAAAAATTAATTCGTTCAAGGCATTATAAGTATATCAACAGTATGTTCAATAAGGCTAGGGGCTTCAGTCTACAACACTTGGTGGGAGGATTTTGACATTCACTTTAGATTTAGGCGTTCAATAAACAGTATGATGGCACCTTAACGCACCTCTGACTTTTAGAGGTTCATGTTAGCCCTGCTACTGTTTGTGTTATTGAATTGACTTTCGAGCTGAAATACTGTTCGTTATCTCCATACATTTCATCCGATTATTATCAAAATTGAAATTTTATTATCATAAAAATATATAATTTCATCAACAGAAAATTCGTTAACTAATTACACGATTTTGTATTTTTTTCACCACAAATTAAGTCTTCTTGATTTTTTTTTATTAATATAGCTTGCGTAGGTTCATTTGGTGTGGAATGTAGTAAGCCATGTCCTGAGGGCTACTATGGAGTAAAATGTCAAGAAGAATGCCCTTGCGAGATATGTAATGCAACTACAGGAGAATGTATGAACGGAACTTTGACACGAAGTATAGTATCATTTTGAATACCATTTTCGTATACCGTACATATGAGGATATGTATGATTTCCTTATAGAAGAGTTTAGAATATAATATGTGTAGAAAACTAAAATAAATGTATATGTTAGAAAATCTGTATATGACTTAGTCCAGTGGTAGAATTTCTTTGAAAGTTCATGCCAATTTTTTGAATTTAGACCTATCTTAACTATAGCGAGGACTTTCAGGCAAAGGGAGAAAATATTTACAAATCATGACGTAGTGTGTTTTAAAAAAATCTGATGAATGGGATTCAATTATTGTTATTTTAACTTGAAATTACAATGGTCAGTAAGCGACTATCAAAAATCAATGGTGGCTTAATAATATATCTTCCCATGCATTATCTATATCCATTTATCCATTCCTTTAATTTCCAGTTTGCTTAGGAAGTTTTGGAAAAGATTGCTCTATACCTTGTCCACCAGGGTATTATGGTAGAGGATGTGAAGAAAAATGCTTCTGTAAAGAATGTGACAGAATGAATGGGTCATGCAAGGAGCAAACAGAAACGGGTTTTTGATGTTTATCATACATTTACATTTCTCTCTCTCTCTTTTTTAATTTTTTTTCAGCTGGTATTCATCGAAGATAGTTATTGAACATACGTTGGTTGTCCGGTAAAATCGTTGACAAGTTGTCTACGGTGAAAAAATTATCATAATTTAGTCAAATTTTATTTTATGTGTTGTATCCTCTTGCGACGCACGATTGATAACGTCAAAGTGTCTAAAAAAGCGTTGCGTTTCAACTGTACTTGAAAAAGTTGCATAAATCCCAACTTGAATTCGAGAGAATTTCTTGAATACACATACTTTAGTGTCCCATTCATTCCTCCGTAAACAGTCGAGGAACCAATCTATCACACACACACACATTGGACCTTCTGAAGATTTGATATTAAGTTGTTAACAGCACTCTCACTATCATTCAACTTAATATGGGCAATCCTACGTATCAACGGCCTACATTGATGGCGTCTTTCGCTACTAATATCGCAGTTTGTCCTTATGTTTGTTTTATATCCTGGGGCCCCATAGAAAAAAAAGGAAAATTCGTCAAGAAAACTCCCATTTCACTTGTATACTTAAGTACTGCTAATATTTTTAAAATTTTTTCTTCTGCATTATTTAAAGTATCAATATTACATCTAAATAAAACTTAACTGCTCTCTGGTGTGCTGTAACGTCACCAAGCTTAACCACTTTCCAATTTCGAATGCTCGAAAAACTGCAAAAAATTATGCAAATGCCTAGAGTTTATCCAAGAGACGATTCAATAGATACGAGGGGCGTTCAATAAATAATGTCATCAGGTCGATGACATACAAAATAGAAATAATATGACATTAAGCTTGACTTTCTCTAATTATTGAATCTTTAATGAATTGATAACAATTTATTTGACCACTTTTCATCGCATAATATCATTGTGGGGAGCTGGTAAACAAGGGCTACTCAAGACACTGCATTGAAATTGAATGGTCAAGAATCAGTAAACTATTGTAAAATTGAACGCATCTTTAAAGCTGCTGAAAAACTTGTTAATTTCCAAAAAATCTATAAACTGAAATATGTGACATTTTCAGCAACTTGTGTCTGTTTCATACACGCATAAACAGGTGGATTTCAATTAACAAAAATTATGTAATGGGCATCAAAAATGGGTACCGTCCTTGGCAACAAGTATATACAACAATCAATGTATATTAGCGATAATTCAACAAATTATCACTGATTATGTTTTATTGACTTTAAGTTACATAGCAAATTTGATAGGCATCATTTTGGGGGTAGTTCACACTGTTTTAAAGAAACATTTGATTGTAAAAAAAGTTTAATACTCAACGATCACCATATATTTTCAAAAATGAGTGAAAACGAGAGCGTGTAGAAAATCTAAATAATTATGTTTAAAAAAAAATTAGAAATTGTTCTTATCCACATCTTTTTAAAATTCAAACAGATCATGAAACTTGAATCCATTTTGAGTTAAACCCTCAAAACAAATTTAGAATAATATGGACTTGACAAAACTGCAAAGGTTTAAGAAGAGCAAAAATTTTCAAGAACACAAAGACAGTTTTATACGCTATTTTCTTAAATATTAGCGGTCTTGTTGTTCAAATGCATATATAGGAAGGCAGTTCAATTTCTGGAGGAGTCTAGTAAGCAAACTATTTGCCAAAACATTGAAAGGTTTATGAGAGGAAGGAAACAGAATGAGGAATTTACTGCATTAAATTTCTTCCTGAGAGCGTCCAAACCCACAGGCCCTGAAGAGTAAACGAGTTTTGGGGTAAACATAAATAAATTTAAGTTTACTTAAAAATTTTTATTGTAATCAATAAGTGTCCTCCTTGAATGTGAAAGTCTGAAATACTGTATAGCTGTGCTTTGTAATGTTAATTTTGTTCAATGTCTTACCGTGGTAGGAGAGGCAGAGATTGACCATTCAAAATCTGACCAATCAAAATCTAACAAATGAAATTCTGACCATGCGGTGCGTTACTCTGCCTTTTCTCCCATCTACATCCTTGGAGGACGGACGTTGTTTCAAAGTTTGTTATTTACGGACGTTGTTTCAAAGTTTGTTATTTATTTTATCAAGATTTTGGTGAGTAAAATTATTTCATTATGTCTTCTATGAGTAAAACTTCAGTTGTCGTTCTTGGACACTCAATCGTGCGTCGTTTTCATGAATTCTTGAAATATGGTGACATTAGGTATTCTGCGAGCCTTGGTCTTGGAGAAACGCATTCCGTTCTGTACAGGGGTGTGGGTGGAAGAAAGGTTCGTGATGTAATATCTAAGGATATGGAGAACGTGTTTGCTTTAGGTCCAGATGTAGTTGTTCTAATGATTGGGGAGAACGATATTAGTCCTAGTACCGACGCTACCTTGTTAGCTGCATAAATTGAATCTGTGGTATCGGTAATGCATCGCCGCTATAAAGTTTCAAAAATAATTGTTTGTAAATTATTGCCACGATTTGGTGTTCGTTTTGGGTACAATAATATTGCAGACAAAGTAAACGCAATATTGAGAGATGCATTGCCAGCACTGGGTTACTGCGTATTTTGGGAACATGGGAATTATTTCGTTTCTCCCCGTGAAGGAGACTGCAGCCGTAAATTTGTTCACGACGGAGTTCATCTGAACAGTCAGGGGAATGTTCATTTATATAGGAGTATAAGGGGAGCTTTAATTTCAGCGAGAAAATAGATATACATCTAAGTCATAAAAGTTTGTCACCATTTTGTTACTTTTATTGTTCGTTAATTTTTCAGATAGATATTATTTGAAATTATGCAACATTTTGTTATTTCAACAGTTCGATAGGCATTTAGGATGTCTAATAATGTAAAACAGATTTATCCTTTTTCTGTGAAGAAAATTCGGTTGGAAAAAGTATCAGCAAATTTGATTGTTTTGTTGTTAGTTTAATTTTTACAGTACTTTAGGCAGATCCTAAGTACAAGTTTCAGGCAGTTTTTTGGTACTTGCCACATTTAAACCCATTTGGGTTTTTTCATTTTAGTTTCGGCTTTTACCATGCAGATGGCGATTTTTTCCATCGTTTTTCTATTTGATATCTAGGAATGTATTTAAAGCATTCCAGATTTATCCTTTTTCTGTGAAGTAAATTCGTTGGAAGAATGTCTGCCAATTAGTTTGTTTCGGTATTAGCTGATTACTAAAATATTGTGAATTTTTACAGTACTTTAGGCAATTCCTAAGTACAAGTTTCAGGCAGTCTTTTGTACTTGCCAAGTTTAAACCCGTTCGGGTTTTTTCATTTTAGTTTCAGCTTTTACCCTGCATATGGCGATTTTTTCCATCGTTTTTTTTTTTATTTGATATCTATGAATGTATTTCATTGCATTCCAGATCGACTTATCCTTTTTCTGTGAAGGAAAATCGTTGGAAATTGTCTGCCAATTTGTTTGTTTCGGTATAAGTTGATTACTAAAATATTGTGAAATTTTACAGTACTTTAGGCAAGTCCTAAGTACAAGTTTCAGGCAGTCTTTTGTACTTGCCAAGTTTGTACCCATGCGGGTTTTTTCATTTTAGTTTCAACTTTTACCCCGGCGATTTATTTTCCATCGCTTGTTTATTTGATAAGTCTAGAAGTGCATGTTGATGCGTTCCAGATTTATCCTTTTTCTGTATAAAAAGAAAACAATTTGTTGGAAAAATATCTGCCAATTTGTTTGTTTCGGTATTAGTTGATTACTAAAATATTGTGAATTTTTACAGTACTTTAGGCAAGTCCTAGGTACAAGTTTCAGGCAGTCTTTGGTACTTGACATTTAGCCGTTTTGGTTTTTAATTCATGTTAGGCCCACTTTTACCTTGATGATTTTTATATCGATTTCACTTCAAGTTGATTTGCCTAATCATGTTCGATTCAATGGTCCAGATTATGGAAGAATTTAAAAAAAAAAATCCGAATTTCATTTTTGAAGGTACAAGTTCACTGTTTGTATTTGCTATCCCCTTTATATAATATTGAGTCTTGTACAAATAGTTGTTTTTCATTATTCATTTATTAAGGTTTTATTGTTCTGCAGCTGCGCTTAGATACATTACAAGCCCTTCAAGTACCTCGTTTGTAGTAGTGATGAAAACAATTCACAACAGCCGAACAGGTTGTTATCTGTGGGAAAGGCACTACAGCCTTCTTGGGAATTTGACACTGTACCGTGCGAGGGGTGTCGGCTTCAAAGGTGGTGATTTATAACTTATGTCAGCTTTTCGTTTTATGTGGCGGATAGTTCTTACTGATCAGCAGCGGCTTAGTGATGTTGACTAATGGCTTTTGCAGTCGCACAATGGGTGCTTTTATTGGCTTACGGCAATTCGGGAAATACAGATCTGTTCCAAAACACTTTTGGTTCTACTATTTATTCTATTTCCGGAAAATTTTTGTCAACAACTGTAGGTGATACAGGGTGTTTTATCGAAAAGCGGCAGAATCTTAATTGTAAGAAAAGGTTCATCACTTTCTAGTTTGTTGTATTAGATTTACACATTGTACTGAGCGATGAAAGTGGTTATATAATGTAATGTTAAATATCAATATGCTCAAATACGTTGTCATGTAGGCTAACTGACTCTTATAGTTACAGTTAGGGCCTACACTGGCTACAGTGAGGTCTTACAATTCTTGTTCATTGTCAATTAAGGCCGAAGCCTTTTACAGTTTATATTTATACATAACATAATATATTGGATACATACTTCTTCCTTAATTTTAAATTTCTATAGGTATATATTTACTAGCATTATGCCAGGCAAAAGGAATAAAGCCCAACAGTCCAAAACAAGTCAGGCGAAAAGACCACATCGTGCACAGAACGGAACTGGAGAGTCCACTACCAATGATGCTGTGGCTGTCGATACAAGCACTCAACCCCTTGATGTTCCTCCTGAAACCTTGGCTGCATTAACCCAAACCATAACAAAGTCAGTCACGGAGAAGGTGTTAGCAGAGATAAAACCGTTACTGCAACATCAGGGGAGTATCTCTGTTCATAATATGGGGGGAGAAAGGGGAAATAATGCTTCCACTACATCAAGCAATAGCTTAACAGCAGGTCCTTCTGGGTCAGTTTGTCAAATAACAAATAAGTCAGTGGATGCAAGTATCTCAGGATTGGTATCAGGCGCTGTAATCGAACACAGTTCACAGATTGTAGGTACTGAACTTCCACCTGCAGCAAATGTCGGTAAGAAATCAGGTTTTGTAAGCTCATCAGTACCGATAGAGGCAACTGTTTCTGACAAAATAAAATCTAAAATTTGGTCATAACAATATGTTGATATGGCTCTGTTGTTAAAAAAGGAAAAGGGGAAAAGTAAGTATTCTATCAAGGTAGAGGAACAGGATCAGACAGGTAAAGTGGTAATCCACAATATGCGATCCACAGATGACGACGGAGTTAGGAATGGTTCGTTATCCCTGCATGACTGGGTAACTGCGTGGAATAGGTATGTGACAATATATTGCATTAAAGATACACTTGCACAGCCAAAGCTTGCAAAGCACATTGAATCAGTAAGGCAAATTGCAGAGGAAAAGGGGGATTGGAGAAAATATGATAAGGAGTTCAGGGAACTCATAGAACAAGGTGAGGTAGAATGGGGTGATGTCCATATGGAGATATATGTTAATGCTCGCCTCAAACAATCAGAGAAGAAGTCAAGCAAAATAACACCAGACCGTTCGTCATTTATATATAGGAAGGCAGTTCAATTTCTGGAGGAGTCTAGTAAGCAAATTATTTGCCAAAACATTGAAAGGTTTATGAGAGGAAGGAAACAGAATGAGGAATTTACTGCATTAAATTTCTTCCTGAGAGCGTCCAAACCCACAGGCCCTGAAGAGTAAACGAGTTTTGGGGTAAACATAAATAAATTTAAGTTTACTTAAAAATTCTTATGCTTACAGGCAAGCTCACCGCAGCTTGTTTTTGCTACTTTTGTATAAGTCAAATAAAACACTTTCATAGAGATGAATAATGTCATTTATTAAAATGACGGTATAAATGTGAACAATTTAACAAACAAGAAGGTGCTTTGTCACATCAACAATATTCGCCAGATCTTTCAATCTTTGACTTGTTTCATTTCCCAAACTTAGGAAAACACCTTTCAGAAAGAAAACATAAGTGCAGCAAATCATAGGATCTGCCATTTTCCAGTATACGAAGGGTCATACTCAAAACTGTGTTCTAAAAACAATCAGGAATTGAATAAAAATGTTACGGACATATGTTTTAATTAAAAGAGAATAATTTCGTTATATCATTAAGAGAAAATCATAGAAGAACGCTTTTTTGGTTCTTTCCGAGCCCTGATGACATTATTTATTGAACGCCCTTCGTATTGCATTAAAAATAGGCAATTTTTACCCCAATCTTACCTATTTGATAATTTTATTTCGAAATTAAACTCTTGTATTCTCTAATGAAACCCTGTTTTTTTTATCACTCAGCGTATGACTGTACCATGTGCAATTCAAACACAAATAAATCTTTATTTTTGTTTATATCTTATTAAAAATCTAAAAAAAGCAATTGTACAGATTTAATAGAGTCGTTTAGAAAAAATTAGAAATGCCCAGTACATACTCGTATTTGATTATTTTCAGTTTGTATCGGAGGTTTTGGAGTAAATTGTTCAATCCCCTGTCCTCGTGGTTATTATGGCAGAGGATGTGAAGAAAAGTGCTTGTGTGAGGAATGTGATAGAATAAACGGGACATGTAAGGACCAATCAGATACAGGTATTTAATGTTTGTCTTATAATTATTCCGTTTTTGGTAGTTTTCAACTGGTTTCCTTTGAAGATAATTTCTGAACATACATAGTTATATTTTTGTATTTAATATTAAACTTAACATGTGTTTAGTCGTTAGCTTCCTGAATTTGGCTTTTAAAGTAAATTTGTATATGTATCTCTGAAATACTTATCCTTGAGGAAAATATCATCTTAAACAGCTTCAACTCTAAATGGAAATTTGTTTTCACACATTGAAGTGAAATTCGGTTTAGTATACTTATTCAAGGTTAATAGGTTCCTATCAAATGTAGCTAAGAAGTCATGAAGAGTAGTGATTAACATTGTATTTACATTTTTTAAATTCGAAATTTGATTGACTCGAGGGTTTTAATTTTTTGACCATGAATTCCTTTTTAAAGTCTTATTACATATATTTTAAAGTATCTGAATTTGTTTCAATTCAAAAATTCAAGAAAGGCTATATTTTGACAATAGTAAAGAATTAGTAAACTCTTTAAAGATAGATGAACAGTGCCCCGTTCTAATTTATGATTAAAGCCTTTTTCAGTTTGTATCGGAGGTTTTGGAGTAAATTGTTCAATTCCCTGTCCTCGTGGTTATTATGGCAGAGGATGCGAAGAAAACTGCTTGTGTGAGGAATGCGACAGCAAAACAGGTTCTTGTATTGAACAAATAACAACAGGTATTCCTGATATGATAATTATACATATTCATAACATATAACTCATGTGTTTGTAAGATTTACAAATGAACAACTTTGTAATTAGAATGGTTCATGGCCCTTACCTGTTGTTTTTCAGTGAGCCTAGAATTTTTTGATACATATTGTTCAAAACTTTGTCCTTCTGAAGATAACGGGCGAGGATGTGAAGAAAAATGCAATTGTGAGGCCTGTGATTGTACAGGTTTTAATAATTGTACCAACAATATTGCAACAGGTAGGGTATTCTTATAATAACAACACAATTCAATATTTATCTGATAAAATCTGATAAAGTATTTTCCAGGCCCCTGGATCATGAAAAATCTCAAGATTAAGTCAACAAAATCTTGTACATAAATGATGTAGAAGTCAGAAAGCCTAAAATAATATTGGTTTAAAATATTGTTTTACAAAAGTGGTGTTATTTACAAAATTAAAGATTAATTAGATAAAAATTAATATCTTGTAAGATATTGAAAATTTGACTCATGTCTAAGTCTGAGGCACGATCCTGGGACCAGAAATTAAAGATGTATAATAATTATGTTTTCAAGCGAGTTTCATTCATTACGTATCATATTTAAAGATCTCTGATAATTTTTTTCTGTAACAAAAAAAAAATTTAAATTATTTTTCTGCACAAATATAATACTCGAAACATACAACGAAGTACTGTATATTTATTAACTTAAACTCACACAAACACACCCTCACATGCAAACATTAAATACGTGCGCTGCCTATCACTGAGTATCTTTCTCCACTTTTATGGACATTTCGCACATTGTTCGATTTTAATTCGTTGATTTCTTCGATGGCAAAGAAGAATGATGAAAGGAGAGATTGAATTTAGCTGGTAAGCGTTTAAAATTATTCATTTTTTGATTGGATATTCAAACTTTTGAAACTTTACAACTCTTCAAATTTACTTTTGTTTTATTGATGCGAGTTAAGATATGGTAATAAATTATAGAATCACCTATGTGTTTTGTGGTTTGATATGAATTCTATTCAAATAGTTACTATTCAAATTTTTATGCCCAAGCCTTCATCAGGGGATAGAAAATTCATAATGAGTTGGATAAAAATCATTCATTACATATTCAGCAGTAAAATTCTGCAATTTATTCATTGAATTATTATGATATTTTACCACAGTGTGAAAAAATCAAAATTTTGTATCGCAGTTTAAAAGAAAATCAGAAATGCAATCTCGATTTCCTCTCACTAAGAATATTGTAAAAATACCCCTTGATCTAATAGAACAATACATCATCCGTATAATATCCAGAACTTAAAAACTCTCTATCTTTCTCCATTTACTGGGTCTATTGTACGTTCAAATCCAATTCTTACAATGCATTTTGATCTCTCAATTGCTAAGCCATGACGTCTCAATGATCAACAAATTATGGCAAAGGGAAAAAATCAAAGAAAATTGCAATCAATGCATTACTCAATATTTTGTTTTTGGATTATTTCGAAGGTGAGCATGACCTACTTCTTTTGAGAAAATGATTATATGCTAATTGAGAAATAGGTATAATTGAAGACATCTTTTTAAATTGCTGGGAAATTGACAAAAAAGTCATGATCTGAAAAGGCACATGTGATAAGAGATGCAGGTTTGAGCATTTGGACGATAGCGGAAAATTTCTCAAAATATAGTTTTGTGTGGCATCAACAATGACAGAGCTCCTGGGCAGTTTACTAAACAGTTTACGTTCACTGGATGTGTTGAATTTGCTAAACTTTGGAACAGCACAGTTTACGTTTCACCGAGTGTGTTCAATTTATAAAACTCTATACACATCAGTGCGCTCGGACTGACAAAACTGGTGAGTGAGATTTGCTTATTAATATGTTTCATATAAAACACAAACATTTCTACTTTTCGTAAAAGTTTAGGATAATATATAATTTGTGTAAGAACAGGAATTTTACGAGGAGTGCTGACTTTTACAGTTGACGCTTACTTTTACACTAGAGCTATATACGGTACATGTAGCTCTTTTATGATATAAATATTTAGCTCAACATTTAATTAAACGAAAATGAGGGGTTATTTCAATGCACATATCAGTTGTTCTTGAAGAAAATGACAACCACCCTACCCTCAACCCCCGGTCTTCACATGTTAGTGCCCCTAAAACCATACCTTGACCACTAGAAAGGTTTTCTTATGCATTATCAATTCTGTACTTCTGCACATGGTACAAGTTTAAATGTCCAAGAAGACCGTCAACTGTAGAAGTCAGCGCTTCTCGTAAAAGCCCGCAAGGAACTGTCAAACAAACAATGCGTCCCGATACTCGTAAATAAAAAAAAATCCATGTGTAATGCTACATGTATTACAGCGACATTTTGGTCAATACATCATACAGAAAATTTGATACAGAAAATCTCTGTCCAGTACATCACATTATACTTACTTCTAAATTTCAGAACGTTATGTTTCATTCTTTTAAATTCCTATTTGCATTTTTCTTATATTAAAAGACAATTAATACTTGTATATTAACATACAATATACTGTTATGTAATATAAGACATTGTAATAGCCTAAATCTTTAAAAAAAAGTTATAGAATAAAGCTTCATAAGTTCGGAAGCCAATTTAGGACCTATCAAAAATTTTTGAATTCGATATAACGAATTGTCGAATTTGTTAAAACGAATTTAATTCATTATAACAATTTCTTAGAATTTGTTATAACGATTTTAATCTGTTATAACAAATTTTTGAATTCGTTATATCGAATTCAAAAATTAGTTATAACGAATTTAATTCGTTTAAAGGAATTCCAAAATTTATTACAAATCAAATACATTCAAACAAATTCTTAAATTTGTTATAACAAATAAAAATTCGCCTATAGAAAAATATATATGAATTCGATATAACGATTTGTTGAATTCGTTTTAACAAATTTAATTTGGTATAATAAATTAAAGAATTTGTTTAAATGAATTCAATTTGTTATAACAATTTTAGAATTTGTGAAAATGAGTTTAATTCATATTAAAGATCTTTTGAATTCGTTATTAACTACGGAAGCCTACGGAAGCCCATTTAGGACCTATCAAAAAATATTTTTGAATTCGTTATAACAATTTTTTAGAATTCGTTATAACGAATTAAATTTGTTATAACAGATTTATTGAATTTGTTATAACGAATTTAATTTGTTATTACAGATTCATTGAATTCGTTATAACGAATTTAATCTGTTATTACAGATTTATTGAATTCGTTATAACAAATTTAATTTGTTATTACAGATTTGTTGAATTCGTTATAACGAATTCAATTTGTTATTACAGATTTGTTGAATTCGTTATAACCAAATTCCTTGAATTGGTTATAACGAATTCAAAAATCTGTAATAACAGAGTGAATTCGTTATAACGAATTCAATAAATCTGTAATAACAGATTAAATTCGTTATAACGAATTCAATGTATCTGTAATAACAAATTAAATTCGTTATAACGAATTCAATGAATCTGTAATAACAAATTAAATTCGTTATAATGAATTCTAAAAGGCTGTTAAAACAAATTAAATTCGTTATAACGAATTCTAAAAATCTGTTATAACAAATTAAATTCGTTATAACGAATTCTAAAAATCGTTATAACGAATTCAAAAATATTTTTGATAGGTCCTAAATGGGCTTCCGTACGGAAGCCCATTAAGGACCTATCAAAAATATTTTTGAATTCATTATAACAGATTTTTAGAATTTGTTATAACGAATTTAATTTGTTATAAGAGATTCATTGAATTCGTTATAACGAATTTAATTTGTTATTACAGATTCATTGAATTCGTTATAACGAATTTAATTTGTTATTACAGACTGATTGAATTCGTTATATCGAATTTTATCTGTTATTACATATTTGTTAAATTTGTTATAACCAAATTCTTGAATTCGTTATCACGAATTTAATAAATCTGTAATAACAAATTAAATGCGTTATAATAAATTAAATGAATCTGTAATAACAAATTAAATTCGTTATAACGAATTCTAACAATCTGTTACAATAAATTAAATTCGTTATAACGAATTCTAAAAATCTGTTATAACAAATTAATCTCGTTATAACGAATTCTAAAAATCGTTATAACGAATTCAATATTATTTTTGATAGGTCCTAAATGGGCTTCCGTAATTAACAGATTAATATTCATAATAACGAATTCAAAGAAATTGTTATAACGAATTAAATATGTTACAACAAATTCTTAATTCGTTATATCAAATTCAAAATTATTTTAAATAGGTAATAAATGGGCTTCCGTACTACCGTATCATAGTGTATCATTTGATTAAATTCATTTACTTAAGTTAACTATAGATAAAATGTAGGTTAGGGTAACAAAAAAACTCTTTCAGTATTTATACCGAAAAATTTATCCCCCCCCCCCCATTTCTTTAGGTGTTTTTGTATCTCTAAGATAAACAGGCACCCCTCAACAGATTGTAGGCTCTGTAAGAGTTGTGAGGTCTGAGCTCTTAGAAGACTTTCTGAAGTCCAGATTTTTTTTTTGTTATCTTTAGCATATAAATCAGTGACGGTTATCAGTCCGTTGCTGAAATAATCCCATGAGGTCTCCATGAAAAGGCAGGATACATAAAATATTAAGATACGAATACGTAGCATCGTTTTGGAAATTCTGGGGCCGGCCAGAGATAGAAATAAAAACTTACCGGGAAAAAAATGTCGAGAAAAAAAAATAATAAAAAAAAGAAAGAAAGAAATAGAAAAAATCACGAAAAAAAATGTCCAAACCTCAAAATCCAATTTCGTTGGATATAAAACAAACACATGGGGATGGTGAAAGTGGGGTTTGGGGTGGGGTGGGGGAGTGTCTGAACTTCTTTAAGTGCCATTTTTTTAAATATACTACAATATTATCTTCAATTGACTATGCTACAACAAAATGTGGGGGCAGCCGGCCTTCCAATAGATATTTTCAATAGTTAAAAGTTTTTTTTGTGGAAAAAATGGTCACAAGGTCATTGAACTTGGTGTCATTTGAAAGAGCTTTATGTGTGGAGTATACATACCAAATATGAAGTCTCTATCATTCATGGTTCAAAAGTTATGGCGAAGGTTAAAGTTTGCAGACAAACAGACAAACAGACAGACAGACAGACAGACAGACAGGACAAAAACAATATACGCCTCGGATCTTTCGATCCGGGCGCATAATTTCAGCAAACGTAAACATATAAGATGACATGGATTGGTTTACAAATTTTTATTTTCGTATCAATGAATCAAATATATTTTAGAAGAACTTGGATTTAATTCTACAAGTGGTAATCCAACTTATACTCATAGTTTCCTTTCTAAGGAAGAAAATCTTCAAAATCATATCTCAGTTTTGAATAGTTTTAATATCCCGAAGAACCAAAATGATTTTGAACTACCATATATATATATACAGACCGGTAACAAACTAGATGACCGTGTAAGAGTCCATAAACAACAAATACGAGACCCCTCCGTCAGGAATACACCTTGCAGTGAACATTTTGATTCATGTGCGAATGGAAACTTTTTGATATTTCCATTTTATAAAATCACAGAAGATAATGAACAATTACGGAGGGCCAAGGAAGATTATTTTGTTAAATTATTTCGGCCTAAATTAAATGTAAATTGAACATTTTAGCTCTAAAAATATGGTCCATTTTATTACATTATACATATGTTTAACTCTATAAATTTGGCGCTTTTTTGACATTTACCTGTGCCAATGTATAACGCTGCCTTTGTGACGTCATACTAACGACGTCATAACAATGAAGTTGTATTGTTTTTATTATCATTGTTACACTCTGAAGAGCCGTAACGGCGAAAGCTCTTAGTGTAAAGAATTAAACGTAAACTTGTTTGTTTATCTTGGATTTAATTTTGATTTATATATATATATATATATATATATATATATATATATATATATATATATATATATATATATATATATATATATATATATATATATATATATATATATATATATATATATATTACAAACATCGCCGGTTCCAGTAAACTCAATCAAGCCTTCTTCTTTACTCCTCACTTAGATATTGACAGTAGTGAAGGAAAAACTCCAAGAGTACTGTACAACAATATATTCAAGAAGTGTTGTGAATCAGATGTGGATACTAAAAAATTCCAAAGAACTTTTGCACAATTTGAAATCACAAGATTTTACCAAAATCAACAGCTTAAAAACCTACGACATGGCAACTTTATACACAACCATTCCCCACGAAAAAATTGGAGTCTAGCCTTTTTGATGTCATTGACAGCTGCCTTTCCAATAATATGGAACTCGTGAATTTACTGACTTGGTTATTTGCAAAATTATATTGTTAAAACACATTCTGATTACACACACAAGTACTCTGAAGTTGACATCAAAAAGATGCTTTAGTTTCTGATTAACAATATCTATGTGGTTTTGTGGGACCAGGTCTTCAAACAAACTACTGGAATTCCCAAGGGTACAAATTGCGCTCTGTTATTAGCAGACCTATTTTTGTATTCATTATGAAGCAGAATTTATGCAAAATCTTATACGTGAAAAGGAGAATCACTTGCTGTGTCCTTTAACTCAACATTTTTTTTTATATCGACGACGTATTGTCAATTAACAATGGTAAATCCCATTCCTATGTCGATACAATATATCCTGGTGAGATTGAGATAAAAGATATATACCTCAAAATTTGACATATCTGTTTCATAATAGAATATTTTACTTGAAAAAGACGTTAATGGTAATCTAACAACCAAGCTCTTTGATAAGCGTGATAACTTTAACTTTTCTATCGTCATCTTCCTTTTAATTTTGCAGCAATATATCCGCATCACCTGCATACGGCGTTTATATATATCTCAGTGATTTGATACGCAAGCGCATGCTCTACGTATGAACAATTTTTAAAACGTAAATTATTGACAAACAAGTTGATGAAACAAGAATATCGGCAGTCTCGCTTAAAGTCATCATTTCGTAAGTTCTTTGGTCGATACAATGACCTTGCTAGCAAATACATTTTATCATTGAGTCATATGCTGACTGACGTTTTTCATGCTAAATGTTAAGCCATTATTTATACACTGAATCGACGGCGGATTTTCCCATTATTTACCGATCATGACAAGGAGCACACGGCGGGAGTGACTAGTCAGCAGGTGATGCTCACTTCTCAACGGCACCTGATCCCACCTCCTATGCTTTGGAGGTCTGTGTTTGCTCTGCTCCTATTTTGTATTGTTTTCTTGACTTTGATATTGAATACTGTCCGTTATCTTCATATCCTTCATGTATAAAAATATTGCTGATATTCCAGCAAATACGCTAATTAAGTAGTACATACACGTACAATATTCACCACGCCTATAACAACAAGAAAAAAGAGAAAAGATTGAACCGCAGGATAGTATTGTGTTAATAATTTAATATACAATATTACACTTAAATTTGTGAAAATACGTTTGTTCTTATAAAAAACAAAACAAAAAATACTGATGAAAATAACATTAAACTAAATTGAAACATTAAAACAAAGGGTTTTTGAAAATATAATTTTTCATCATATTTTTTCTTTTAAAAATCACCAGAGAGCTTCATATGTGTCATAGACGTTTATCAATATATGTTTTGGATGGTGTCGGTGGTGGTAATGTACTTTTGCGAGGACTGCTGACTTTTACATTTGACGGTTTATCTTTACACTTGAACTATGTTCGGAAGTTTTTTTAAGATATCACTATTTATCTAAACATTGTCAATTATGTACCTCCATACATGACACAGGTTAAATGTCAAAGTATATTGTCAACTGTAAAAGTCAGTGCTTCTCGCAAAAGTCCAATAGTAGTATTATGTATGGATTGTTGCTGTTGCAATGTGTGAACTTGGTAATGGAAGAGGAAGCATTGGTTGAGGTGGTGTTTCTGCTGTTATTTGTAAACGGAGTGGTGCTTCTCCAGATCCAGATACCACTTTTGTCATGTATTCTTGTGATCCAATTACGTATATGTATCCTGGTTTGCCAAAGTTTTCCTGGAGCATTTATTTTTTCCTCTGCAGAAGAGACAGTATGGATGGTTTCGCATTGTTTTCTTTTATTCCTTCGAGTAGATGAGATCTGTCATATTGACTGAGGCAACTTGAATTAGTTGAATCATTATAGATAATAACACATTAAAGCATTTTATAGTGGAAAAGGATTGCCCACAAGAAATTTTCAAAAATTTTTATTAATGAAGGAGTAGTTAATTAACAAAGATTGCATTGAAGTCTATGGGGAAAAGCGTTTTTTCAAAATAAAAATTCAAATAATTTGAGTATCAACAAGTCCTGTGGCGGAAAGATGCATTGAAATATTAAAAATAGAATGATAATTGAAAACAATTTTTTTACCAGCTAAATTTTTTAAATTGATTTTTTTATTAATTAAAAAAGGGGAGATAACTCTTACCAAAATTCAAGGTCATGAAATAGGACACATCCCAGTAAACATACTTATAGTAATAAATGGGAACTATGTCTAAGTAAACTAAGTATTCAATGCCTACATATCTTTTATGTTTTCAATTTCATTGAATTTCTTCTTATTAGGGATTGAAGACCTTAATTGCCAAAGTCTGCTCACCAAAACTGCACGGACTGAAAATACATTGTGTTTTTTTTTTTTTTTTTTTTTTTTGCTTTCGAACATGTCTACTCTTAATTTTCTGGATTATAGTATTAACATTTTTCATTAATACACAACAAGATTGCCATTTTTCCTAAGGATTAAGAATGAAGTTAAAATTTGTGAAAATGCAAGGACGTGTCAATCAAACCCGCTAAAAAATAAAAAATTTACTAACTTATAAATGAAATAAGATTTTAAATTAATTTTTGTGTGAAATGCTATTAAAATATATAAGTCGTAATATTATAGAGAAAAAAAATAACTTCAAATTTGTGTCCAAGTATCTTTAAAGTAACACAATGAATCAAAATCATGTGTTTCTTTTAAGATATCTGGAGCAGATACAGAGAAAGACTTATTATGAGTATATAGCGAAGATATGAAAATCAAACTGCATTGTTAAGCAAGAAAAGACTGCACAATATAAGTGCCAGAAAAAGTTTTCATCTAACTTTTCGTTATTTTCGTGTTTGTCAAGGTCACGCCAGTTTTATTTTTAGCTAACACTTATAGAGGACATTCAATTGGAGCAAGCAAGGGTGTGAAATATGTTCTAACAACTTTTTGAAAAGATTGCATTAAAATTGTTGGTCTTCTTACATTCATTCCTGGGTTCTTGAGACCATGGTTATTATGGCAACCTATTCAATTTTTTTGTGCATAAAAGGGAGGAAGAAGTAATGCAATATTTTCGTTCAAGGGCATACTGAAGTTATTCTGCTTTTATTTTTCTCCATAAGATAAATGTTTTAGGTTCTGAAACTTGTAATTTTTCTGAAACCTGATACTTTTAGAAATTGAACAAAATATACTTGGGTTATGCAAAAATTCTATGTTTGTCCCTTTTTCCCTTTGTGCGTCACGGTGTAATTTCATTAATATCTTTTTACTGAGTAATAAATTCTGCTCTATACCTCTTACATTACCTGGAAAAGAAAGGTAAAGAAAAATCAACATAATGTTTAGAATGTTAGCTTATTAAATTACATATGTATCAACATAAGTTCTATTAATGACACTTTAATGCAGGATCAATTTCAAATTTTAGGAAATGATTTTAGTTTATTCTGTCGCCCAAGAGAGTTGCTTTTAGATCCTTACTTATGCGACAAGAATATACCAAAATGAGATTGGATATGGTTCATCTTATATTCACTGGTAATGGTAAAGAAAACATTTTTGTGTTGCTGAATAAAAATCCTCAGCAGATATTGTACTAAAAATATTATTTATATTACGTGAGGTACTTACTTGATGAATTTCTTTCATGAAAACAGTTTCCTGTTGTAGCATTGCACCTGTCACACTCGCATTTTTCCTGACATTTAAGGCCATAATATCCTTCAGGACACGGTTTGCTGCATTCTAATCCAAATGACCCTATGCATGCTTGATAAAAGCCAAATAAAGACCATTTCATTATTATTCACCAGGTATAAGGATTAAGAAAATACATTTCATTAAGTAAGATTGAAAAGCACATATGCGAAAGATTCAAACGTTCTTGGTAATGCCTGACTGTATATTGTTTAATGTTCCTCTCGAGATTTTTTCACTTATATGTCGATGGAGAGCTGCAAACTTAATTATGCCCGGCACTCAGGGCCATTGAGCAGGGAGGGATCTTTTTTTCATTCTAGCACCTTCTGCGACACAGGACCTCGGTTTAAACGATCTCAACTATTAAAGGACCGGTCTCCACGTCCACAGTGGGACTCTTGATAATAAATAATTGTATAAGTTAAAATTACTCAAGTCGTATGTGTCTCAAAACTTAAACAAAGATTGCCAATTTGTAGAAGTTATTTACAAGTTTCTTCAAGATTCCTTAAACAACCTGTTGAATGCATATTTTAAGTAAAAGTACAACTTACGGTAACATTTTCCTCCAATCGTTCTATACGAGGTACAACATCGCAAATTCCTTATAAAATACAAATTATTATTTTATGATGTAATTTATTGATACAAAGCAGGAAATGTACCTTACACACTTTATTTTTTTTTACATGTACTTACTCAGAAGAAAGATAAGAATCGATACACTTAGGTTCTATAGGAATTATCCCTAACTGTTTTGTATCAATATATCCATCAATACATAAGGTCCACTGTAGTTGTGACCAGTCAAAACAGTTTCATAGTTTAAATTTTAAGCTAAAAAATATTGTTTGTTTTTAATTTTGGAGGAAAAATGGTAATAGTTTCGAAATGGCTCAATGTTTCTAGGCTTCTAGAAAACGAGGATCTATTTTATTTTGTTTACTTGACTTTTGATCTTGAAAACTGTTCGTTATCTCCAAATCTTTTGCACTTCACACATGTGTATTTTTTACCTTACCCTCGACTTTTTACTACTTAAAAAAATTTAACCTGGGCCATAATTTCTGAACAGTTAGAACAGTACTAGGACCTTTATATTTCACAGATTTATGTCCTATGACAAGATATTAATTCGGATACCTACATTTCTGACCTTTGACATTGACCTCAGAGTTTGACTTACTTTGAAACCATTGACGTTGGTCATTACTTTTGAACAGTTGGTGCTATACCTCGTATGTTTCACGTACATTTCTCAAGAAAGGGCCGTACCCTGGTCACTTTTAACGAGGCCCGATCTAGTTGAACTGCGCATACATTTTAAAGCAGCGTCGACTCAGGCACGTCACAGTACCTTTGACTGCCGTCACAATTGAACACAATAACGTCACAATTAAAATGACGTCAAATTGCGCTAAAATGTTTCGCTGATCCTGCATACCTGGTAACTCGATAGACTGTACATGTTGAAAGCTGGTATTTCTATTATTTACATGTTTTTTTTTTAAATATTTTTTTTAATTGATAAACAACTTTGGAACATGATTTATTCTGAGGTATTAATTTCTTGGTACATATTCACTAATTTTACCTTGTTTTATTTTAATTTGTGAGTTAAAAAAACAAACACTGCAACCGAAAGTAAACGATTTTAGTCTTTCTCCTTGAACATTTTGAAATCTTTATACACACCTTTTTTTTTATTGAGGACTTAAATATGCATGAATTAGCTTGATTTAAAAAATCAGTCTTTGAATCATTTAAATGCAACCCCCGATATATTTTATTTTTCTATATATTACATGATATTAGTAAAATTCGTCATTTTTCGCCTTTTACCCCTTGCCCTCCCCCTTTTCCACGTATAACAACGTCGCGTATAAATAAAAAAAAAGAAAGCATGAAGAGAAAATATTTCAAAATGTAAGAATTATTTATCTTTTAGAAACTAATACGGTATTGCAATCGTTTGTTGATGTTATGTACACCCATGTCGACTTATTTCATGTCTAGTTGGATAAAATAAGTGCTAATTTTGTGTTTCGATATGCCCCCTTTTCACTGCAATAAAGGCTATCTTCAATTTTCTTTTCATTTTTTATAAGAAGAATGAAAATTGCATGATATATGTGAAAAACAAAAAAATTCATCATGTATTTTTTTTAATTTTCAATTTCTTTGTTTATTGGAGGGTTTTACTATGTTACTGTGTATAAAAACACAAAAAAATGGTCCATATCTTGACAGTGCCCCCATTTGACTACAATAAAGGCAAGATAATAAGATTTCATTCTAATTTTTCTTAGCATAATACATTCAAAAATATTTCCAAATATTAAAATTTTTTATCATTCCGTTTTCGTAATTTTCAACTAGATCGGGCCTCGTTAATGAGACTCTTTGACATTCATCTTAGAGTCTGACTCATGATTTAAAAATTAAAGTTTAATCTTTACCATTAATTTGAATATTTGACTGATTAAGTCATATTTTACAAGAATAATTATTGGGTAAGAACATTCATATTTTCATCTTTGACTTTGGCTTTTGACTTTCATGTGAGAAACTTCGACCTTAGCCGCCAAAAGCTGCCATAAGGTGGCATCAGTGTTTCACAAACATATCTTGTTTTCATTATTATTATGATTATACTACTTTATAAAGTGCCTCTTTATGTTTTTTCATGACCCCAAAGCGCTTAACACATAAAAACAAGTATGTGACGAGGTATGTAGATACGTATCAAGTTGCAAAGTTGTTTTTTTTTTTAAATTGTTCTTCATTTGCTATTGTACTTATTTTAAGATGTTTTAAGCGCTCTCTCTATTGTGAACAATATGTAATAAGCTGTTTTTCAACACACTATCGCACATCACTCTCACTTCGCGCTTATCTTTGAATAAGACTTGTCAACAGCTTATTGGATATCGTTCGGTCAGACCTTATATTTCAGTCAATTAAAATATACCAGTGTGTATGAGGAAACTACAATACAGAATATTGACGTACATAAAAATGTATTTTATTAGATTGTTCGGATCGCTCTCTCTTTTACTG